TATTAACACCTACACTCTATTAGAGTTATAATAAAGGACTTAGTAGTTATCTGTAATGCACAGAGTGCCTAAGCGCTTTACTAGAAAGTAACAGAGTTGTTGTAACTAACATTCTAAGTAATTTTATAAACTAGATAATAAAAAGAATTAATAGTAAAAAAAAAGTAAGTATTTTACTTAGCTAACTAGTAATACTTAATTTGTTAAAGCGTTACTACTACCTATAATTAGTATAAAATAAGGTACATAGAAATAGGATTTAACATACACTTATCCTTTTAAAGCTTTTAACTTTTACTAGTCCCCTTCTATAATAGAACATAGGCGCCTCCCTTTCTGTAGGTAATTTACTGTAAGGGCGGCAGATTACTACGCTTTTAGTAAGGAGTTTTCTAACTTTTTTATCCTTTGTCTAGCCTAAAAGCAAAGCAGGGAGCTTTTTAAAGCGCCTTATAAGAAGCTTTGTGTAGAGTTTTTCTAGAGAGAGCTAAAATGCATTAGTAGTGTCTATTACTATATTTATTACTATTGCTATACTCTTCTTAGCACTATTTACTAAAGAAAGACAAGAGCAAGACATTTTAACTAAGTAAATGCTATAAAGTAAGTAATAAACTAAGCATAGGTTTAAACTAATATTAGCGTAAAATAGCATTATAAGTAAATAGGTACATATATAAAGTAAAGGTTAGTAAAAATAGTGTAAAAAAGCTACTACTTAGCAGCAAGTTAGTTTTAGGGTAAGTAGCAGTAAAAGTGTAAGTGCAAAGGTTTAAAAAGTTAGGTAGTAACCTAGTTAAAGCTAACTTTTACTTTTACTACTTACTTAGTAACTTTACTAGGACCCTAACTGCGTTACTAATATTATACTAGCAACTAAGAACGCGTACTGTTACATAACTAGCTCTTATAAATTATGTTAAAAACTCTAAGTTTATAATAAACTATTATATTTAGCAGTATTAAACATAGTATTAGACGTTGTATTAGACATATAAAACTATAGTAAAAGTAAGTAAAAGTAAAATCTTTAATAAATAAAAAAAATTTAACTAGCTTACTACTATTTACTATAGCAACACACTACACTACATAGTAGGCTGCTGCCTAAATAACGCAATAGCCTGCGTATATGTTTAAGAACTTTAATTACTTAGACTTACACATACTTTTTTACTTCTACAACGCTACTAGTTAATTTTTAGTATAGCATAATATTATATAAATTTTTATGTAAATTATTTATTACTTATTTATTACTACTATATGCACTATAGCAAAGCGCAAGAAAAGCCTATTAGAATACTCTACTAACCTAAGCATAGTGCAAAATCTAAAGCAGTAGACTCTACTAACTAGAGAGGGCGCTTAGCGCAATTTAAACTATATTGCAACTAATATAGCCTACTTTAAATTCTAGACTAATAAATTCTGCCTAGCAGTACAGCATCTATTAGATGCTAAACATAATAATAATAAAAAGTCTAAACTAGAAGCACACTTATATGTGCAATCTAAAAATGTTGTAACAGCAATATAGTAAGTGTATATAGTATTAGATAAGTAATAAATAGTAGCTAATCTATTATAGATTTAGTAAGGGCAAACATTACAGCTAAAAGGCTATTAAGTGTAGTGTAGACCCTAGTAAATTTAGTAATTAACATGTATTTTTTATTAAGTAACTTACGCTCTTTAAACTCCTAGACGCATATATGCCTCCCTAACACTGCTACCTAGATATAGAGCCTATAGATATTAACAGTCTAGAGCCTATAAACGCTGTTAATTCTTAATATAATAACACTTTAAATAATAGCAGTTTACTCTCTGCAGTACTAATAACAGACATAGAGAAAGCTAACAAGCTGCGCTAATAAAGATATATTAAATTAATATTAGTAGATGCAGTTACTAGTACTAATAAGAAGATTAAATTTCTAAAGATGCACAACTTCTGCGCCTATGTCTAGCATATAAGCAATACTGTATTCTAGGTAAGCATATGCTATGTAATACGTCTAATACTAGTCTAATACTAGTCTAATACCTGTCTAATACCTGTCTAATACTTTACAGCGCTATGTAGACTAGATATGTGCAGGCTTTTCTAGGTACCTACTACTTATTAGTAACAATATTTAAGACTGTTAATGTTAAGTAAGTTTCCTGTTAACAGCTACAATATTTCTTAAGTAGGCTAATAGTAAGATATAGTCTACTATAGTTAAATTAGCATTTAACTTTACTAATTAAGCTTTTTATAAAGTTGTTGCTATTAACAGTCTCTTCTAGCTACTAATTCTACCTTTTAAGATACTATTCTTAAGGGCTAAACAGGCAATTATAATAGTATTATATGCTGCATAGCTAAGTAGTTACTTTTTAGCTTCTAATATTTAACTAGTAACTTTAGACAAAAGTATTAGTCTTTTAAAACTATTTAATTATAAGTTCCTTAATAATCTTAAGTAAGTTTAGTATTAGGTAAGGTATTAGACACTAGCTAATAATATTACACAGACATTAAGCTGTATTCTAGACAAATTAGTTTAACATAGAGGACACAAAGTACCTGCTAAATACTATTTAAGCTAGGGATAATATAGTGCTAGTAGATTTAACCTAGTTTATTAACATGCTTAAGCTAGACAAGCACTAGAAGTAGAAAAGAAAGTAGCTTAGACATATTAAATAACTTATAGCTACTTAAATAAATAGTCTATACTTTTAACTAATTACTGCCACTTTTAACTTATATTAGCATTTTGCTTACTAATTATAGTAGAGTAAAAAATTTTTAAGTAACTAAAAAAGAAAGGTTTATTAAATATAAGCCTTTTAAGGGATTTAACTTGCAACACTGCTACATATATAAGCCCTAGTGCATAATTACAGCTTCTACTTATATAAAGAACTACTCTGTCTAAACTAAGTCTCTAAGACTTATAAATAGTAATAGCCTAGGCTAAATAAAAAGAAAACTGTGTTTATAAGACTACTGCCTAGTTTTAATAGAACTCTTAGTAAATAAAGAAAATTAGAATAACTACCTAACTATTAGCTTACACATACAAACCTAGACCTATATAATTAGGAAAGGCTATAAGGACTGCTTTTAGCGCCTTTTTGTAATAATTAGTTACACTTAATAACTATATAATGTTGTTAACTTCTCTAGTAGATCTATTTACAAGACCTACCTTAGTCTAGATGTTATGCAATAGCATAACACGCTTACTAATGCATAGAGAAAGTAAACTATAAAGATTACTACTATCTGCAGCAGACACCTTAGCTAGCTTACTATAATTATGCTAAGCGTAAGCTATAATTATAAGTGCACATAAATTTTTTATACTTTAATAATTAATTATAGATACCTTTGCCCTTTTCCTACACAAATAAATAAAGGTAGAAAAGGAAGAGCGCTTACTTTTAGTAAAAGAAGCACTGTAACAGCTTATAAACAAGTTCTAGTTATTTTATGTGCTTATACCTTTACAAAGACAGCTAAAGGCTTTATAAAATTATAACTAGCTATCTTCTTACTATCTTATAACTACATTAAGAACAACTATCTTTGCAAATTACTAATATAGTAGTTAACTATAGTAGTTAAGGACAGAACTATTACTAAAGCTATTAAATAGTAGGCGCCTGCCTACTAGAGAAAGCTAGCTAAAGTCTCCTAATAAGATAATATTAATACTGCTAAATAAAGCTATACTCTAAGAAAACACCTACAGACATCTTTTATAAATCTAGGATAATATTTTAAGTCTAACTATTAACTTCTTATTAATAATAATATACTTTATAGAACATAGTTAGGCTTATAAAGCTTATAAGCTAGCACTAACAAGTAGTAGCAAGGGTCCTAGTTTAACAGTAATTAGAATACAGAAAACAGAATTTAGGGTTGTCCTAGATATAAGATAAGTAGCAACGCTAGTAGGTGCACATTATAAGATAGGTAAAGCAACATTATGCTTAGCTACTAAAGTTTCTAGCTTAAATAATATTATTTTAATTACATATATCTTTCTAGTCTCTTTAACACTATTAAGATTAACAAGTAATTGTTGTAAAGACTGTTTAGTAAGAAAAGTAGTATAATAATTAATAATTAGGTTGTATAGCAACTGCTGCTTAGCTTATAAGTTATTAAACGCAGTAATAGACACTGCAGGTGCATTCTTAACTAGATAGTTCTACTTAATATCTTACTAATATAACACAGAATCTAAATAAAATGTGTTAAAGTAAGCCTTATGCTTTTAATTCTTAGTATAGTTAATTAGCTAATCTCCTAAGAACTTATTATTAATAAAGATACCTGCATCTCTAAGTTAGAGATAAGTAAGCTTATTAAAAAAAAGACTCTTTTTAGGTACTATATTCTTCTACTTAGGATCCTCCTTTTCTTTTTACACTTCTAGGTCACTATAAGAATCTAATAGTGTATAATAGCATAATGTTTAGCATTTTATATAAGCCTTAGTAAAAGTAGTAAATACCTGCCTGTTAACATAGTATAACTTTAAAGCTATCTAAAATAGATAGTGCAACATTAATTTAACATAAAAAAAGTTTTTAATGTTAATAAACAGTTTATACTAAGAAATAAAGTTAAAAATTTATAGTTTTGCTTAAGGCCTACGCTTTAAGCGCTTATTATAATTAAAATAAAGTAGGTAATCTAAATAGCAGATATTAAAAAAGGCTACTAGGCGTTTAATGTACTTCTGCAGTATGCTCTTGCCTTTTTAAAAGGTATAAGTTTTAGCTTTATTGCCTTTATTAGCCACTTAATTATCTTTAGGCTGCTTACTCTAAAAAAAGAAGAAAACTAGCTATAATTTAAAAGGACAATAATTAACATTAATAACTGTGCAGCTGCAGTGTACTAACGTAATACTAAATAAAGTATGCAGAACCTTTTATGCACTGTAATTATAAGAGCTAATACTTTTGTTAAAAAGCCTTACTACAAAGAAAAGCATTAGGTTACTAGGTTTAATATACAGCAATATCTGCCCTACTATATCCTTAAAAGTCTGCGTCTGTGTCTTGCCCTTTAAAGTGTACACGCCTATATAGTTAACAACACTAGTAGTGCTAGTGCACACTTGTATATTAGTATTTGCGCGCCATCTAAGCGCGAGTATAGGTAAATAGGCGTTAAGGCGCATATAGTTTCTCTTAGCAGTAAATCTTTTATACTACTTGTCTACTAGCTTCTTAAAACCTAGACTTATTTATAAGGGCTAGGGTGCATTAAATTAGTAAACCTTTATATTAGTTTTTTTATTCTTTTTAAAATAATAACTAGCTAAACAGTAATAGATGTAGCACTAGGTAAAAACACTTAAAAGCTCTTTAAAGTTAAATAACATAGCTAGTGCTAGTAGTAACAGCACAGAACCCTTGTCTACTAGCTGCTGTGAATTCAGCTCTAGGTGCATTACTAATATATAACACCCCTAGTATGCTGCTATGCAGGCAATATTAAAATTAGTTGCATTATTGCCTAACTCTAAATCTAGGTTTAGTACTCCTTTATAGTAGTATAGGCTATAATTATGCGTACTACTTTAGCCTTACTACTTATACTAATTCTAAAAGTTAGTTACGTTAAACTTATGTTACAGTCTATGGTTAGACTAGCGTAACTCTACTAGCAGTGCTCCACAACCTAGCTAGATTAGGACAGGGCTCGCTTATGAACTAGTCAGAGGGCACAGAGGCAGCACAGCTGCCCGCGGTAATGGAGGAATGCGTGGTCTAATAGGAAGACAGGCCACGAGTCTAGGGAGCCTAAGGGAGCTTATAGGAGCTCTCCTTAGCAGGCTCCTAGAAGCTCCCACTAGCTCCCCTTAGCGCCTCTAGTATATGTATATAGTTACTGCATTAAACAACCTTTAGAAGGTGTGTTTAATGTTTAGTTTATTCTTTATATAAACTAAGTAGCATTTAGCTTTTTAAAGAGCTGTAATACTATTTATATATCTTGCACTATATATACCTCTAACTTTATCTAATTAGACTATTTAACCTAGCCTTTCTACTGCTGCATAAAGGGCAAACTATAATCTAGTCACCCTAAAACCCTCTATTAGCCTAATAGCCTGTACGTAGGACTGTACACCCTACTAGTTAGCCCCTACTATCTGTCCTACCCCCCCCTGTAGGAATATTATAAGACCTAAGTGCTTCTATAAAGCAAGAATTATAACATTAAACACCTCCCTCTTTAAAAAGTATAGATACCTTTTAACACAACCTAGATTCTAACATAGCTTATGCAGCCTTGTTAGAATTAGTAGATGTTTCTACCTAAAACAAAGCTGTCTTAGCAGAACAGATGTAAGGCCAGATGTCCCAGAACAGGCCAGTATGGCCTCACCTGACCTGTTTAGAGGTTGTATGACCTGTGCTTTGTATATAAGCATAAATCCTAACAAGTAAAGCTTAGCAGCAATTTATCTCTTTTACAATACACTCCTATCTTTCTCTAAAAGCTTGCTCTTAGTGCTATCTGTGCTACTTACCATCCTATCTTTACATTATATTTCCCTAGATTGTCCCACAAAGGACAAAGACAAGGACAAGTCTAACAAGAATAAGCAGAAGGGAAAAGGGCAGGGCTAGAAGAACTAAGCTTCTTTCTCTTAGCCTATATTGCCCTAGTAAGCAACAAAAAGGAGCTTAGAAACCTTTAAGACTTGTTATACCTAAAAAGGTTAACCTTATTGTTAGTAACAGTAAGCATAGGGTTATTAGAAGACCTTTAGGCTGTAGTAGACAGAGGAGCTTAATTAAACGTCCTGTCTGCTACAATAGCTAAAGAGCAGGATCTTAAGATTAAGCCCCTGCTAGGTGTCTTTCTAAAGGCACCTAATAGATTAGACTTTACTGTCTACAGCTTTACAGTTGTAAACATAAAGATTATAGACTCCTAAGAAAAAGTTTAGACTTATAAAGTGCTGTTTATAGTAACAGACCTAAAGGGACCCTTAATATATTTAGGTTTACTTTAAATTAATTAGTTTAATCTAAAGCTAAACTTTTATATAAAACGTATGTTATTTAGGGGCGTAAAGGACTATAGTGTGCTAAAGTACGCTAAGGTAGCCTTAGAAGACGCAGCAGAGTTTAAGCAAACTATGTAGAGTCCTAATACAGATGTCTACGTCTGCAGCGTGCTGTCTAATAACACTAAAGATTCTTTAGGACCTGTAGAGCTTAAGTTAAGACTAGAGTATAAAGAATATGCAGACGTAGTTAAGTCTAATAAGATGTTAAAAGTACTACTGCATAGCCCGCAGGATCTAGCTATTAAGCTAGAGGAAGGGACAAAGCCTCCTTACTAACTACTGTATAACTTGTTAGAGTATAAGTTACAGCATCTTTATAAATATATTAATAATTATCTGTAAAGAGAGTAAATTTAGAAGTCTAAGTCTTCTACAGGAGCTTTAATCTTATTTATAAAGAAAAAAAATAAAGGGTTAAAGCTCTATGTAGATTATAGAGGCCTAAACTAAATTATAATAAAAAATTATTACTTACTACTACTTATCTTAGAATCTCTTAAAAGACTTAAAAAAGTAAAGTAGTATACAAAGCTAAATATTTATAATGTGTACTATATGTTACATATTTATAAAAAAGATAAGTAGAAGACAGTATTCTAGACTTAATATAGTTATTTTAAGTACTAGGTTATGCTTTTTAGTCTTACTAATGCTCCTGTAGCTTTCTAGGCTTATATTAACTAGGCTCTAGCAGGGTTAGTTAATGTAACGTGTATTATGTACCTTAATAATATTCTAGTCTATTCTAACATAGAAGAGGAACAAGTTGTTTATGTTAAAAAAGTGCTGTAAAAATTATATAAAGTAAAGCTTTTTTTAAAACTTAGTAAGTGTAAATTTTACATGTAAGAGACTAAGTACCTAGGGTACATAGTTTACCTAAAAGGAGTTAAAGTTAACTTTTTAAAGATTAAGATAATTTAGAAGTAGCTAATGCTAAAGACTGTTTAGGATATTTGTGTTTTTATAGGGTTTATAAACTACTATAGGCAGTTTATTGCTAACTTCTTCTTAATTGCTCTACCCCTTACTAAGCTAACCTAGAAGGGCCTAGATGTAGTAAAGAGTAGTTAAAAGTAAAGGTAAGAAGAAAGTTAGAAGCTTAATATTAGTCTTAAGGGTAGAGCAGCCTTCTAAAAGCTTTAAAACTTATTTCTTAAAGTTTTTATATTAGCTTATTTTAATGCTAATAAGAAAACTAAAGTAAAGGTTAACGCTTTAGAGGGCATAATCTGTAGCATTTTAAGCTAATTAGTCTTAAATAAGACTAGAGGGGCTTAATAAAGGCTAATTAGCTTCTTCTTAAAAAAGATAAGTAAAGCTAAGTATAATTATAATACCTATAATAAAGAGTTGCTTACTATTAATAAAAGTTTAGCACATTAGCAACATTACCTCTAAGGTCTACTGTTTAAACTTTTTACAGACTATAATAATCTTTGCTAGTTTATAAAAACTAAAACTTTAAACTACTAGCAGGTCTAAGCCTATAAAAGAATAATAAAATATAATTTTGTTATTACGCACTGTCTAGAGAAGCTAAACCTAGCAGATAGACCCTTAAGAAGACCTAACTATATTAAGGAGTTATAACAGCCTTTCTAAAAAGGGAATGCAGTGTATGTAATAGACATGTGCAACCTTTTAAATTAATAAGATTATAATAAAGAATTAATAGTTATAGCTATTACACATTCTTAAAATTCTTTAGGCTTAGCTAAGAACTACTTTAAAAAAGAACAAAGGCTAAAACAGCTAGATTCTAAAAAAGCTATAAGCAAAGAACTAGAAAAGAACAATAATAAAGACTTTATATTAAGTATTAGAAAAAACTATAATAAAATAGACTTATTAGACACTAAGAGTAAAATAAAAGACAAAGAGAACTTTAATAAAAACACTTATTCCTAGAATAGGCTAGAACAACATGCTATAGCTAATATAGAAAGAAAAACCCTAATAATAGACTAAGAGAAGGTAGAAGTGTTCTAAAAGTGCTACAACAGCCTACTAGTAGGCTACTTTAGTGTAAAAAAAAACGCTTAAAAAGATTATATGTTAATATAATTAAAAAAGGCTTAGAAAGGATGTAGAGGTGTACTATAATAACTGCCTAAAGTGCAGATAATTAGTAGCTCTACAACACTGCCTATATAGGCTCCTTCACCCTTTGCTACTGCCTAATAGGCTCTAGCAGGATGTCACAATAGATTTTATAACACAGCTGCCCCCTTATAAATACTTAGAGTTAGTATATAATGCAATCCTTGTAATAGTAGACTGTCTTACTAAGATAGCCTACTATGTGCTAGCTAGAGCTAATTAGGAAGCTTTAGACCTAGTAAAGGTTTAGTTAAAAAAAGTTATTTACTTTTATAAAGTTCTAAAGAACATTATTTCTAATTAAAAGCTAATAATAAACTTAAAGTACTAAGATAGTTTTTATTACTATCTTAGCATATAAAGGATTCTCTTGTTAGCCTACTATTCTAAGACTAATAGGCAGACTAAAAGACAAAACTAAACCCTAGAATAGTACCTTAGATGTTACTATTGCCTAGAACAAAATAATTAAGTAATGTAGTTGCTAATAGCAGAGTTTATGTATAATAATAGTGTGCATGCAACTATAGGAGTTACTCCTTTCTAAGCATACTACAGAGCAAACCTAAGAGGGCCAGATTAGCCTAGAGAACCCCTAGGTTAGAGGGAATTGCACATAGTAAACAAAGTTACTGCAAAAGCACTTGCTCTATAGTTAAAATGCTGCTAGAAAATTATTGCTATAAATGTGTATTAAAAAAAGTATGCAGACAAATAACAGAAGCATATATAACTATAAGTAGAAAATAAGGTATTAGTCTCTAATAAATACATAAAATTAATAAGGCTAAAGAAGAAGTTAGACTAGAAGTTCTTAAAACTAGAGAAAGTTGTAGCCTAGATTAGCGCAGAAGTGTATAAAGTAGACCTACCTAATCTAGAAGAAGTTTATCTAGTGTTCTATGTCTTACTTTTAGAGCTATATACCTAGAAAGGGCGTCTTAAGTTGCAATTAGAACTAATTGTGAACACTCTACGCGCTATAAAGGATAATGTGTACTATGTAAAAAAAATACTTAACT